ACCACACGCACAAATGGATTGTTTTTGATGTCTTACATAACCCGGTGGAATTGATGCATTCTCTCCATTTCTGCGATTAGAAGTTCTTCTCTCTGTGGCGACCTGGGACTCGATTGAAGTTTTTTTCTTTTTGTGCTGATGTAATGTGTGAAGGGAATACGTCCAAAAAGTACCGCAGTCATTTGGGATCATTTCCCTTTAACACAAATGTATTAATGACAGCCCACCCCATCCCCAAATCTGGAAATTCAGTCAGTCTCCGAAGGGCTTGTTAGATGACGGTGTGTTGATGTCTCAACACTTTGGCTGGTCGTGCAGCTCTCGATATTTGTAATCTGGTTCGTTGTGCTACTTCTGCTGCTGCTGGGTTGAAGACATGAGTGTACGATTCAGTTTTTACCACCATTTTGAAAAAATGTTGGTACAGAAGCTCAAAGATTCACAGATTATATACAGGGAGTTGTATGGGTCAGGCCTCAGCTTCATCCAGCTGCAGCTGGACCCCAGTTAATCCTGTGGGCTTCCTGGCACCTTGTACTATCTCTGTGTTGGTTCTGCCAGTCACATGGTAACCCATCAGTAATCAGACAATTTCCTGAGTCTTGCTGGGAGATTTACAAATTCCCTGCTGCTTTTCCTAGTACTACACATCTTCATGCTAATAAGCCCTACTTCAGCAACACTTGTGCAAGCAAGATGAGCTACGCATGTATGCACACTAACATTCTTCATCTTTTATATTGTGTGTATGTTTGTGTGTGTTTTTAACATACTTATGTGAGAGTAAGCTAAACACTAAAGCTGACTGATCTTGTTCAAATGAAACTGGACATTGGGCACTGGCAGTCCTGTTTCCCCCTCTGTGTTGTTTTTCTCCTCATTTTCTGCCATGAGTCAGACACAACCACAACTGTCGTGCACATTGCCCAGTTGCTAGGCAGTGGACAGTATTTATTTTCCCCCTATTTTCCACTTTTCTTCGTCTGCTGCTTTTCCACCAGCAGTGTGATCCCTTGCTGTATTTTCTTCATATAATTAAAGTATATGCATCAATTTGTTTGTAGTTTCATGTCCTTGCGTATACTGAAAATATATATTTTTTTAAAGAAGGGGCTAAGTCTAGCATGTGGGGCAGTTGGATTGTCTGACATTTTGTGTATTCAGTCACAAGTTATAGGTAACTGTGGAGGGACTCTATTCAGCACTGACTCATGAAATGTTTCCAAGCACTAGTATTGAAATGGCATGTAGGAATGACTTGTCTCTGTGTTTATGGATCTGCAGTCTTCTGGACTTGTGTAGTTCAAAATGAGATATGGTGATCAAAGTATGCTGTGAGAAAATAACAGGATTAGTAGTATCAGTGCAATTATCACAGAAAGTATTTGTATTATACAATATCAAAAGCTTCTAGTCATTTGTTAATCAAAGCAGCAGTGGCATCAAGGTATGTGCCAGACATCATTACTCATTTCTGTTAGCAGTTTTAGCTTCACAGGTCAAACTCCAAAGTGCTTGTTTACTACTTTCAGAAGAATCTGTGTGTAGGTGTGGTAAGAGAAAGGCTAGCTATCTCAGCTCTGGTCAGTCAGATTTATAAACTCTGTGTTTTTTCCCAAGAGGGCCCTGTTATTGCTATATAGTTAAAATAACTACTAGGGATGGGTATCGTTTAGGTTTTATCCGATACTGGTGCCAAACCGGTACTTTTGAAACTGTGCCAGTGCTTAAACGGTGCTCAAACCGGTGCTTAAAGAATGGAGAACACAAAATTGGTCCAAAAACCTCTCATGTTCAGCTGTTTCTTTTGTAAAAAAAATAACACTGTTAGCCTTTTCTGCAGCTATGGGGCATATATGGTATCACTCTTGGCTGGAAACAGTGCTTAATCAATGGAAAAAACACAAACTTTGTCCAAAAACCTCTCATGTTTAGCTGTTTTCCACTTTTTCTTTGGTCATTTTAGCCTTTTAGGCCAGGGTGAAGGGAGCATCTGCCATCAAACAAGAAGACAGCCGCATGTAACTACGACAGTGTTTGCTAGTTCACCTTACATGCATTAATGTAATAACGTGGTTAGCCTACTCAATGTAAATTACACACGAACAACATTAAGCTACTCGCGCAGAGAAGAACGGCTGCTTCTGTATCATCATCCGTCATCATTTCTGCTACACTGGCAGGGCTAGGGGCCAGGACTCTCCTCTTCGGGTTTTTGGGGGATGTTGCTAACTCTGGGTCCGATAACAGGCAACCCACCCGCAGTAAATGTGCACGGTGTGAGGTCTCGCAACAAGCTATCAAATACGGCGCATTTCTCGGCTTTTAAAAAAAACGCTCTGCGTCTCCAGGTGTTTCATCAGATTCGAGGTGTTACCTCCTTTGACAGTATCACAGTATCAGCTTAAAGCACTTGTTGCAGGCTGCTGAGTTTGCATATTTTGCTGTGAAGTACAGCCAGACTTTTGAACGCTTCGCCTTGGGCATTTTTAATCTGTAGCTCTGCTCTAAAAGAACGTACATACCTGGACCCGCCTACTATCCTTGGAAACGTAAAATGATTGGCTAGAATCTAAAGTGTATCACAGCTCAGGAAAAAAAAGCACTGAAAAAAAAGCACCGAAATAAAGCACCGAAATGTGCGCTGCTTTTCGGTCTGGTTACTACCGTTTATGTCAGAACCGGTGCCATCATGGCACCGGATACCGGTACCCATCCCTATTAACTACTAGGGCTGGGCGATATGGCCTAAAATCCATATCGCGGTATAATTTGAAGCACGTGCGGTAACGATATATATCGCGATATATTCTTTTCTTATGTATAAGTGTTTTCCACACTATAAGGCACACTTAAAATCCTTTAATTTTCTCAAAAATCGAGATTGTGCCTTATGTATGAATTCTTTTTGTGCTTAAGGACCTCGAACCGATTTTGGCGTGCAGAAATCTGTTAAAAAATGTTTTAGTACAACTTTGGTAAGCGGCACTGCTTGATGGATTGTCAGAGCATTACGGCTGCCGCAGTGAGGAGCTTCGCGGAGTAATCTGGGTCCAAAACTCCAAAAGAACACAGAGTTAAAAACAGTCTAAATTCTTTCATCTTTAATAAAATCATCAGCGTTGCTGCTTTACCAGGTGTAACAATTAAGTTTAACATCCATGAAAACAGAATTGATTAAATTTAACGGAGTTAGAAGTTAACAGGAAGTTCCACCTAAACATTTCATACCATGTTCTGACTGAGAGATTTTTGAAACAAATTAAAACGTACAGCTCTGCTATCACTTCCAACATAAATGAAGACAAAAAACTAAACAGCAGTGCCGTTTGTAGGGTTACTGAAGTTGGACTACCTGTTATATAATGTTGTGCTACGTGATTGCTAGCGACACAGCTATGTTAGCATAACATTAGCACAGTGAAGCTGGAGGATGAACGCCAACTTTTTTTCCACTCGATAAAAGTTAACGTGAGGGATTCTGGTGGTTAGAGACAAATGCAATCACATAGCAGGATGCTATACACGGGCCAAACTTCAGTCAGGAGAACAACTGAGATTATTCATCCACAATACGAGGTTAGTTATTAATATACTGCAACAACATGGGAATAGAACAGCTGTGAGAGAATTCAACATTAATGAATCAATGTTACGGAAGTGGAGGAAGCGCAGTTTTTGGCTTTCCCCATATTTCAAAAGTGCTTCATCTCTTTGCTATGACTGTCGGCTGGCATAATTTGCAGATGATAATGGTTGTAGCCACTGCGATGCTTTCGACCAAAACAGGCGCAGCTTGATGACATCATCAACATACGCTATCGCGATAGAGCGATATAGTCAAAATCTCTATTGTTGGCCAAATTTATATTGTTTCTATCGTATATCGTTTATATCGCCCAATCGCCCAGCCCTATTAACTACTACTAAATACTACTGCTGCAGCTTATACAACATAAATAAAACAAGAAAAGTCTATGACAGCAAATATGATTTATTCAAGGTTAAGTATTTGATCTGAACTCTGAGAACAATAATCGATTACAATGTTGTGAACACCCCACATTTTTATTTATTCTACCTGCATCATTGTTATTTGAAATGCGGAATCAGTTTGTAATTTTTACTTTACACTCAAAGAGCCAGGGACAGTCCATCTTTCTTCCATTTCTTCATAATGTGCTGCAGAGACTGTGTTGCCTCATGAATACTCCATCATGGTGTGAATTGCAAGTTGCCTCATAACCATGAGGATAACGTAAATTTGAGAATGTCGCAATATCCTGCTGAACAACAGCACAATTTCACCTTTTGTCCACTCAGACATTGCTGTGGTTTTTGGTCATATATTTAATCATAGTACACACCGCACACAAAGCGACTTTAGTTAATCTAAATCTTTGGATGTTTGTGTAAGCTGTTTTTATTGAAAGGCGAACTGCATGTGATCTATTAGTGTCTTCACTTGTATACCATGGAGGAGTAGGAGCTGACAGCTGTCTGTGGAAAGTATCTTGGCCCATTCCTACCCTGGGGCTTGATTGTGCGTGCTGCATGCTGCGTAGCAGTGTATTTTGAGGGTCATCCCATAAAGACTTTACCCCAGGCGAGTACGAGCAGAGAGTGCATTGACAGGCACCCCTGGGTGTACGTCTGCGTGTAGTGTTAGATTCCTTGTGGCAGATGAGCTCTCTCTGGTTCCCCCAGGCTGTTAGAATAAACATAGTAGAGGATAAGAAAAGCCTATATCCTGTCAGTACAAGACATTTCCATTAAAATGTTAACTACGATAAAAGTAGTTTCTTGAGAGTGGCTGTGACTTGTCTGCTGTGAAATTAACATATCCCTGCATTGCCTTTTGAATTCAGACTGTAGAACTGACTTATGCAGGGGATAAGACGAGGGTCCAGATGTGAGCCAGCCTTACTGGCTGCCTGTTTACATTTCTCAGCTAACAGGAGCATATTTTTAACCTCTGCCTGTTTTTGTTCTCTCTGCAGGTGCTGGGGAGTCGGGGAAGAGCACCATTGTGAAGCAGATGAAGTGAGTGACTGCTCATTGTTTTGCTTTTCCTCCCATCATGAATGCCAATTCAGTATATGTTTTAAGCATAAGTGATTCTATATGGAATGTATAAATGTGCCATTGGTGTTGTTTAACTATTCATTTTAAGTACATCTTGAGCCACCTGTTTTTCTTTTGTTTTGTGCGAACAAATTAGTGAGAGAGCTATAATCTTGGAAAAAAAACATCACATATTTCTTTTATGCATTTTAATAATGGAGCCTTTAATAATGGCTTAAGGCTCCATTATTAAAAGATAAATAAGACAAATTTTTGCTTTGTGCCACTATAAAACAGTAATATTTGGTGTGTGTGGTTCAATAACAATAAAAGTACATTTAAAGCAGAAATTATAAGGAACTATATACTGTAGCTAATATACACAGAATATTTATATATTTATCACAAGTGTTAATTTTATTTGTCAAAAGTGATGATTTTATATTGTGCAGGCCAGATGGTTGCTTCATAACCTGAAACTGTCAGACAGACTGATAAGGATACAAGGATTTTTTTAGAGGTTCTGTAGAAATATTTACACCAGATGTAGTAATTGTATGAGAAGCTCGTCATACAAGCACTAATATGGTTTCTCTTGTGTATTTATAGGCTTTGATTACTCTGTACTCATAAATGAAACTGCTGGTCTCTCGCCTGATTCTCACTCTCATCGGTCTCTGAAACACTCTTTACTCGCTCTTACACTGATATCGAACATTTATTTCCGGTGCACGAATGCATAAAATACGCATCAGGTCATACACATTGTGTAGATTTTCTTCACTTGCTGCAGCTTACTAAGCACTCATATAGTTCTTGAAAACCTGCTCACAGGCACATTAATATGCTTGATGTGGGTTGTTTTTTTTTTCTTGGTTTTTTTTTCGATGCATCATTAGCATTAATCCCAGAGTAACTACAAAAAAGAGAGAAAGAGATTCAGCATTTTTGTCTTCCTTCATCAGAGTACAAAATAAATTTAATATTTGGTGTGTGGAATTTTTCCATTACTAATAATGATGAAAAGGAGAATTTTTGTTGTAAAAAAGGTGTGAGACTCCCAGGGGGCCTGCAGCATTACTGAGGGGGTTTCTTTTAATCTAGTTTTGAAAATATTAAAGTACTATAAATAAATTCTACTGGTAAACATCCAGGTTGTGACAACTTGAGCTTGCCAAAAAATTTGACATTTCCAGGAAATGACAAAATGAGTGGATTACAATTTTTTTGAGTTCTCTAAAAAATTCCCTCCGGTCCACAGGGCATACAGGCCCATTATACCCACCGGTGTCCCCCTCACAGAAGTTGGGGCAGCCCAAAAGTGACGCCACATCCGCTGGTGAAAGTCAGAGAAAAAACTTAGGAAGAAAAAACAATAAACTTGTTCAAAGAATATTGTAGCAAGTAGCCACGCCCTCAGTGCTGCTACAGATGGTGACGAGGCTGTGGGGATGTCACTCTTTTGTACATTACACCACAGACCAATACAACAACCATTATAGGCCTTGAAACCAGCAGTCATAAAATGGTTAAATGAGGAAAAAAATCAACAAGATTGATATAGTTAAGAAAAACTAAACTAAACACTAAAACTACATGTGACAAAACATTTTAGTTAACAGAAATAAAAATAAAAACTGGTCTTTTGAAAAGAATTAAACTGAAAGTATTTTGTGAACTTGGGAAGTTAACTGATATAAAATAAACACAATGATGCTGCCTGATGAGGCACTGATGAGTGTGTCTACAACACTGAGTCTGCTGCATTCATGATGTTTTGTGTTTTTCCTGTAAAATGTGTTGACTTTTCCCAAATCTAGCCTTTGACACATACCCTCCATACAGTAATAAAAGAAAACAAAGTAATAGTTAAAAAGACTGAAACTAACACTTTAACTAATAAAAACTAAATTTAAACTAAGCATATTCCAACAATAAAAACTAAATTAAAATAAGAAAATCCACTCACTCTTCTAATACTCTTGGTGTTTATAACCTTTCCAGAAATCAAACATGTTGTTGCATTTTGATGGATGATGTGCGAGTACTTTCTGTGTTGACATATAAATAAAATCTTGAGGTTTTGCAGACATGTGACCGGTAACCACGTGACGTTAACTTGTCTGTAATTTTGGATGTGTGACAATTCGATGACTAAGCTCCCAGTCATATGCCCTAGAGAATGGTCAACCATCGCCACTCATAAGGGAAAACTGAGTATTCCCTGATTGGTTGAGAGTCAGTCATCTGACTGCCACTGGTTTTTAGGGGAAAATGTGTATTTCCCAATCAGCTGAGGGGGAAAAAAACACCTTGTGATTGCTTTGGTCACTAATACAGTCCCAATCAAAAGTTTTAAGACCAATTAAAAAATGGCAAAAAAAATCATATTTTTCTTGGTTGGACCTTACCAAGGTTCAAATCAGACCTTCATGTTGAAGGTCTGATTTGAAGAAATGGCAGTGACCTCCCAGATCCAGCTGAGTCAGCAGTAGGAAAAATCTGCTTTTCACAGGAACTTGGTAACAGCAATAAGAGAATACGTAGTTTATTCCAAGAAGATATGGTCTCTCTCCCATATATAATATCTTACTGGAACCGATATGTTCCAGATATCAACTGGAAGACAGTCTGGATGATCCCCCATAAATATTTGATTGTAAATAAGGTGAAGGAAGTTTCATTTAAAATTCTACATAAATGTTATCCAGCCAGTCACTACATGGTAAAATTTAAAAGAGACATAAAGACTAATTGTACTTTCTGTGGGGATCACCCAGAAACGGTGACATCTTTTTTGGTACTGTTCTTCTACACAGAGATGTGGAAGGAATTTAGCAGGTTTGTTATTGTCCATATTTTAAGGGAGTTTTCTTTACGACGGGAAAATGTTTTATTCTGTTTAAGTTCCCCAAGAAGAATGATAAATGTTTTTTTTTTATAATAAATTTGTTAATACTTTAAATTTTTTATCCATAAATGTAAGTTTAAGGATGTGGAATTGTACATACAATCAATATCAGACTCCACCAGCAAAAAGGCTCTCAAAACAATATAGATGTGAATTTTTGCGTGTATTCATATAATTATTACTTTTTTCTTTTTACCCCTGGTTTTGTGTGTTCATGTTCTGTTCTTCTGTATACTTCATCTGTCCGTGTGTTGTAAACTCATTATTTGTTAAATAAAGTTCTTTAAAGAAAAAAAGAAAAAAAAAGCCAAGAAATGGCAGTGAGACAAAACTTTTTTTTTGAGCATGCAATTTATTGGAAACAACACTTAAACTGAAACAGACTGCTTTACAGCTGATCGAACGTTTAGGACCACACCTCCAAAAAAAAACTGTAACACCAGTCGTCACCACACAGACGAGGGCCCTAAGTCATGAGGGATGCTCTCTGCAACATTTGGACATAGCCAGCGGGGTTTTGACGCCTCTGCACCTCCTGAAGCTCCATTGTTCCACCGAAGGAAAAAGCGGCCCCTTATGGCGCCCCTTCCACTGTGGCGCCTAGAAATCATCTCAGGTGGGATCTGTTTGTCATGCCAGTAACGTTGGAAACCATCAGGACCATCAAGGTGAAATTTTTTTTCTCATCAAAGAATAAAATTTTCTTCCACCTTTCAATGTCCCATGTTTGGTGCTCTCCTGCAAAGTCCAAACGGTCAGTTCTGTGGCATTCAAGGAGACGAGGTCTTTGAAGATGTTTTTGTTTTTGAAGCCCTTCAGTCTCAGATGCTGTCTGATGCAGTCGGCACCAGTAAGGGTCAAGGATTTGACAGACACCCAATTGGATCCTCCAGCTCAGTGCTGGTGAAATTGTTTTAGGTCTTCCCCTTGAGATTTTTATTCCATAACCCTCAGGATCATTTAAGAAATTCCAAATGACTGTGTTACTACGTCCCACCTCAACAGCGATGGTGCGTTTAAAGAGACCCTGCTTATGCATTTCAACAACCCGACCACGTTCAAAAAAGAACAGTTTTTTGCCTTCGCCATCAGAACATCATGACAGTGTGACTACCTGACAGAAAATGACAATGAATCCACATTTTTGCACAGATTTGGTCTTTTAAAGGCATGTGGTCCTAAACGTTGATCAGCTGTGAAACAGTGTTGTTTTCAATAAATTGCACGCACAAAAAAAGTTTTGTCCCACTCCCATTTCTTCTTGCTGCATGTTGAAGCTCTACTTGGAACCTTGTTAAGATCCAACCATGCAAAATATGATTTTATTTTTTTTTTTTTGTGGCATTTTTCAAGTGGTCTTAAACTTTTGATCCAGACTGTATGTTTGTGGACTTGGTGGAAGTGATGAGCTCGTCTAGAAACCGCTGTAGTGAATATGAAAAGTATAACGCAAAGTTGACATAGAGATCGATTGCCTTCAAATTAAAAGTTACATACTTTAAAACATAGTTGCTGCAGAACAGCTTTTGCTTTGACGACAAAGGTCTCCAAGTTGAACTACCGATCAGTTGGCAGTCAGTAGGAGGTTTTTGGTGTAGGACCTTCTTTGCAACTAATTTCACATAGCAAGAGCCAGAAAAGGTCAGGAATCACTTCCAACCAGCCAGGAATACATTTTTCCTTAGCAACTGGCAGTTGCTTCATGTCCATTATGGCGGAAAACTCCCAAGCAATGTGCGCCTGCCATCACATGAGAAACGTCATGTGATGTTTGAACAGTTTTGTGCCAAATATCAAGTTCCTGATTGTTCTTAGTTGTAAAGAGTTTAATGACAAGTTTATTTTTGCCTTACAAGACTGTCACTTGTAAGGACGTAATTCTCTAAAATCATTTAGTGTGAGAGGAAGCCACCCATGCGCTTTCAGTAATTTTGGCTGCGCCTCACATTGCTTCACAGTGGGCTCTCTTGCATTTTAATGAGGTCCTATTCAGCACATCACACAACCACTGAACATCCTGGCTCAGGCAGGCTGGGGAAGATAGTTCTGTTTGGTTTCCAGCCCAGAGGCTTCTGTCTTTTCAAACAAATGCTTTTTTCCCCTCTCTACAGTTGTATCTATACAACTCAAAAAGCAAGTAAATATTTGCTCTAGTCTCTTGTAACTGAATGATATAAAACACCTGAACGTTCCCAGTAGCTCAGACCAGCAGCATCACATGCAAATCTGTGTGTGTGTTTGTTGTTGTTGTTGTTTTTTAAATTAATCTCATGAAATATACTTTTCTTTTTAACAGGTTCTTTTTTTTTTTTTTAGGTGTCTGCTACAGTACTTTTCATTATTATTATTTTATAGCAGCATTCAGCTTTGTGAATAATTGCTAAGTTTAGTTTTTTAACATAAATTATGTATGGTTTGTTGCTTTATCTGAATCACCATCCTTCCCTCTTTTCTCCAGGATTATTCACGAGGATGGATACTCAGAAGATGAGTGTAGGCAGTACAGAGCGGTCGTCTACAGCAACACAATCCAGTCCATTATGGCTATCATCAAAGCCATGGCCAACCTCAAGGTTGACTATGAGGAGTCTGCCAGAGCGGTATGTCTTTAAAATACAGAACTTTTCACCCAGTGCCATCCTCTCCATGAGGGAGATATGAGTGAAATGATATTAGTGATGCAAAAATGTTAAGATTTTGCAGCTCTTTTCATAAGTCACCGGAAACTTCTGAGCTTTAGACTTTTAAACTTTGCTCAGTGCACCTGTTGTAATATAATTAATGTTAAATATACATTAAAATGCAGACAAAGGGTCGAAGTGCTCCAATGCTCCCACGTAATTTTAACTTTGCCATTCAAGGTTATACTAAACCTGCAGGATAGTATAGTGCAGTTAAGCTTTAGTGATATCATCTTGACTAATCACTACCAAAACTTTCCTCTCTGCCTTCTTCATAACCCCTCATATCTTGAGGATTTAAGGATTTGAGGCAGCAGAAATTATGCAGATCAAGAATTTCTCTTTAAGTGCTGTGTGATCTATTCTATTCATAAATGAACACTGGGCAGCAGATATTGAAGATGGAAGCCTGCAGTGTCAAAGTACCACCCATAAAAAGATCACAGAAATAAAGTCAGTCTTTACTCTAGAGAACATGAAACAAAATCATTTGTTCTACTGAGCTATAATTTCTCATGTGATTCTTGCCTCATATTCCACCCCATCTTAGATTCATGCAGGCTGTGAAACTTTGATTGTTTTGTAACTCGAATAATCCTTGATTTAGTTTTTTTAAACACATTTGATATGTTTTCCAAATTTCACCCTCCTGAGTGACCTTTATTTCAGTGTAGCTGTATAAACGTGTGTGCGTACGCCAGCCAATCCTGACACAACTGCCTGTTGTGTGTCAGGATTGGCTCTGCCAAGGTAGTAAGCGCTGCATGACGGGTTCTGCCGGACAGAGTATTAAAAAGTAATTTTTAAGTTAAGCATACCGCCATTGAGGTGAGCTGCAAAGACCTTTTTAGTACCCTGTGTCTTTCAATCATTTCAGTCAAGAAGAAACAAGCTGCTTTACTCTACACTTGTTGTGTACATGCGTCTTCATTGTTTACCAAATAAATGTGAATGCAAGGTACTGATATAGGATCAGTTACGGCACTTTCAGACATATACTCCTTTTATCAATCAGATTAATCTTAGTCACATTAACATTGAAGCATTCACAAGATTTAGAGTGCACAGAACTCTTTTGTATGTCTGTGTGTTGCTGAGCTCACTAAAAACATACCTGTTTTGAATCATCACTGAGGGATTTGAGTTTTCATAATCCAGAATATTGTTTACCTCCCGTAAACTTGACTGCGAGGGGTAAGGGTGAGCTGCAGGACACTGACACAGAGGACAGAGAGAGAATACAAGCATACACGTACTTTTACCATCACTTTGTGGGTATGCCTGGATGAAGCCGTGAGAATCATTAACCCGAGCCTGTTGATTGACTTGTTTGAAGGTCGTACAGTTACAGGAAATTCAAGTTACGTAATGTGGAAAGAAAAAGAAGTTGTCCGGTTATGAAACCAGAAGTGTGTAGGGTTTGTAGTTTGTGCTATTTTTAAATGATGCCGATCAAGATATCAGTCTTTAAAATGCAAAATTACCATAAGCACACACAGAATACCTGGAATAACAGCAGGTTTGTTTGTTTTTTCTGTGGCGGTGGCATATAACCAGTTACCAAATTTAATAACTGATTTTAATGAGAATATCAGTAACCCAGGGAATCTTGGCTGTACGCTTCAATAAACACAAGTTTCAATTTTCTCAATTGGTTTAAAAAATAATTCTGTGGTTCAGTGATTGATGGTTTTACTGTAATAATATTTTTTCTGATTTTGCCCTAACTAATGAAGTTAGTATCTTATGTCTTGTAATTATAAAATGTATTCTGAGCCAGGATTATTTTTCCATGCAAACTACAAATACAATGGAAGCTATGTGAAAGCAAAGTCCTGCAGTGTTAGACTTATCAGTCTGTTTCTTCATGAAGAAAAATAAGAATAAATGCATTTTTATATATTGATGTGTATGTTATGTTTTGGTTTGGTTTTTTTTGCACCAGGATGATGCTCGCCAACTTTTTGCGCTGTCAGGAGCGGCAGAAGAGCAGGGCACCCTGCCAGAGGACCTGTCCAACATCATCCAACGACTGTGGGCTGATGGCGGTGTCCAGAGCTGCTTCACACGGGCCCGAGAGTACCAGCTAAACGACTCTGCAGCCTAGTAAGTGCCTTAATAACCTGGGAGTGGAAAGAACAAGAAGACATTCGTGGGCGTATCTTGTACTGTAAGGCGTTTAAAAAAAAAAAACCAAAAAAACCCCATGTTTAATTAATTTATGAAACCATTCCCTTCCTCCAGATTTAGAGCTAACGTTTAAAACTACTGCTATAAGTAGGTTAATCCCCAATATCCAAACCTTTTGTTATTTTTGTTCTACTTGTATTTTTTTATTTATTTAATTTACTTTCCATTTGTTTTGCTTTTTTAGTTTGGCCTTTCTTGTTTTTAGATTCCTCTTTGTTATGTTTAATATTGTCCTATATTCTCTACTTCATCACATCAAACACTGACAAAGCTTGCGCAGGGAACAGTAATGGTTATTAATATTGAAGACATCAGTGTTTAATTTTATCAGTGGCTTTGCCTTATACGGACAACAGAGTCGAGCTCAGTCTCTCTGCAGGTCTTAATTAGCTCAATGACCCTTATCAGTTAAGTGCCCCATTTGTTGGCTGCATCGCTCTAATCTACTGGTGTAATAATGGGAAGAGAATGAGGTAAATGCGAGACGCTACCGGTGCGAGGTGGTTATCACGTCCACCCTCGGGAGTCTTGGGGAATAGAGAGCATTGTTAACCACTATATCCCTACAAGCTTCAGCAGCAATTAACAGCACTGCTTTCTGTTTAAATAGAAACCCTTCGATAATGACACTTTGATCGATGACACCTCCAGATTGTGCTGTGAGGTTTCAGTGTAGTGCTAAGTGCTTCCAGGTGATATTTAGCATCCAGGGAGAATAATATTGTTCTGTGTTTGTGTTGGCCTGTATAATCATAACATCTCAGTCTCGTGTTCACCGCCCTTGTTATAGCTGAGGGGACCCTGAAACATGCTGCTAACACGGCCTCACATTTAGCACCTCTGGGAGTGGACACTACAGTGTTTCATCATTGCTTTTATAGAGAGCAGAGTGAGTAGGTTGAGGACCAGATGAGTCTGGCACAAGACCATAATCCATATCTGAGCACCTGCTGAGAGGGAGAGAAAGAAAAGGAGGAGATAAAAGAGAAAGAAAATGGCACAGCGCACATTAACCGAGGCCTCTCTTCTATTACACCCTGGATCTGCTCTTCATCTTCTTCTTTTTGTCTTCATTTTTTAAAAAAAAGAGGCTTTACCCCTAAGTTTATTACTTTCTCTCATCCACGTCTATATACATAAGCTGGGTCAGTATTGGTCTATCACACATATTTTGCTCTTTGAGTAAAAGACGCTTGGTGTATTTTAGATGTTTTGTCAGTACATAGTTTTCTCAGCAGAACAGCTCCAGTTTCATTCTTTACAATATTCTGAACTGTCAATATCAGCTTCAAGAATCAAGTAACCGTGGTTGTCAATAAACTGGTTTTTCTTTGTGTTGTAATTGTTATGACTGCAGGAATATTTCTAGTCTGCCACTCTACAGATCTACTGTAGCCTTGTGCCAGGTGTCTTAAACTTCTGTGTAATAAACGTGACAATATAAAGCCACCAACATTCCAAAAAACAACTGCAGTTAAGAACCAAATTCTATGAATATACAGGATTTATAAACACAATGATCAAACCAAACACTCTTAAATCTGATGTATGAACACCAAAAGCAGCCTAAACCACTCTCTGGGCTGAGTGGGATTATGATTACACTGTCAGGCATGCTGAATGAGTAGTGGTATGAAAGCTCAAATATTTACACTTGGGTTGTGGTGTTGTTGGAGATTAAATTAAGTTCCAACACTTGCACAGTAACTCTTTTTTTATGCAGCTGAATACTGCATTAAAAGATGGACAGATTATATGTTCGCCCTGTAGCTCTTTCTGTGTAGTTTATGAGATAAGATGAGATAAACAAAAGACACTGTCCCTTTGTGCTCGTGTCTGTTTAAAGACTAAGATCTCAGTGTCTCAGCAGAATTTTGTATTTGAGCTGCTGATCATACAGCATTATTTTATGATTGCTAAATGTTTGATGAGAAAAAACTTGAGCTTTTACAAACCGCAGGTTGCGACGTTTGCGGCATTTTAAAGCAAGCTTCAAATATTATTTGTAAAACTTTTCAGTTGGTTTAGAGCAATTTTGTGTTACATTTAAGATGCTATTAATTGATCCCCATAGTGAAATTAATTGTCTGCAATTAAAATTCAAGTTAGGAAAAGCCCATTAAGTCCATCTTAAGTATTTGTGACTGTTTTTTTGTTTTTTTTTGTTTGTTCATTTTTAAATGCGATTGGGTAGATAGAAACTTAAAGGACAAGCAGTCTTGTGGTGTTCTCTGACAGGATGTCAACACATCTAATACGATCATAAATTCGTCTGTGTTTAGACAGCAATGTGCTGCCGGTGCTGTTACTGCCAGCATGAGACATGTCTCACGTCTGTCTCCAGGAACAGATGGGGCTTTGAACCAGAAAGAACATTCTCTCACATCTTACCTCAACAAAGTATCTCAAGATGAAACACCCTTTGTTAGGTTAGAGGAGGATGCTCTAAGGTTGATAAATAGCAATGTGTTTGTATCCTTCCATCAGCTACCTTAATGACCTGGAGAGGATAGCCAAGCCAGACTACATCCCCACACAACAAGATGTGCTGCGGACTCGAGTCAAGACCACAGGCATTGTGGAAACACATTTCACCTTCAAGGACCTGCACTTCAAGTAAGACTTCTTTTACTGTTTTTCTCAGCTCTTTAAGCTAATTTTATGAAACAAAATTCAAAATTTAAAAAAAGATACATTAGGCTGTAACCTGTAACTTTTTTTTGCTTTTCCCCCCAACTGTTTAAACATCAAAGGTGAATAATTGTTTAAGCATGCTAACTAAAAGACATGGATTTGATGAGTCAGGAATTTAACATTTATCTAATAATACAGTTAATCATAGAGCATGAGACGCATCACCTTTACATTTTACCCCTCAGCTATAAACGGATGATGGGGTTTGTCGTCAAACCGCTGGGCAGGCGGGCAGGTGGATATGCAAGTTTGCAAATGTGATAACTCAAAAAATGAGGCAATGTAGACGTTTGAAATTGATACCTTGGGTGCAGCTGCTGAAGGTCGGACGAGTTCGAATCCTGGTGACCTTGACATCGAGGTCAAGTTTTAAGACAATCTTGTAAATGCAGGATTTTTAAATTGATACCATAGGTGTGTGTGTATTAGTAGGCTGAGGGGTAGTGCTGCATTTTTGTGATTGCTCTGAGCATTCTTATTTACATATTGATAACATTAAATTATGAATGTGAACAAAAAATGACTGAACAAAAGCACTGCAGTCTAATCTGATCTTCCAGGCTTTATAATGTCACTTTAAGCTCTATTTAATATGCACATAAAAACGCCTTTCTCAGAAAATGATGCTTTACTGCTTTGACTACAAGTTGTCATCGAAAGGTTCTGTGTAGAGGTCCATAAAGTGTTGGATGCATGTCACACTGAAAATCTTGTGTTCCCGAGGACCATTTTCAGCTGCTATTTAATTATTTAGCTTTTTCAGTTGTTATAATGCAAATGAAGTAACTGTGAATGATTCCTCACTGATAAAGGCTTAAGTCAAGTAATGATGAGGTCATGTATATATGATGATATACATGACCTCAAAGAGTTTGGGCTCCACTACTTCTAGTAACTTTTTGAATATTGCCAAAGCAGCCAAGAAAGTGTGTTTATGGGCTTATGAATCATGCTTTTATATTTGCACTGTAACTGTTGTGGCTTCTTTGCAGCACACAATGTTTCTTCTTTACTGAAAGTCATAAAATTCTCAGAAAGGAAAACATTTATTTATTTTCCAGTTTGCAGAGCAGTTGCTCATTTGAACAATTGAGGCCATTATTATTAGTATTATTTTAACCTTTAACAGCTCATGCCATCCATTACTGTACTGTAATGTCACATTTCTACTTACCATTCATAGGGTAAAAAAAAAAGAGGGGAAAACCTTCAGTGATGAGCAAAGATCGATATCAGTGATTGCGAGTAACCTGTGGGAACGTGTGAGATTTTAGTGACTGAATGGTTGCCATTGCAGGATTATACACATCAGTGGAATAATTGCAGGAATGCAAACTGTTGCTGTTTTGGAAATTTGAACACTGATTTCTAGCCATGCTTCTCAGAAATGTTTTTGTTTGTCATTATTGCTAGTGGTGTTACCCCCATTGCTATAACCACACACACATTATACTTCATATCTGATGCGCACAGTAGTCAAACAACAGGGGAAAGTATTTGTAAAATATTCAACACCTCTTCACTCAGAGTTTACTGAAAATAAGCGTGTCAGTGTGTGGCTCCCATGTGGAAGGCGTCACATCGTGTCTCGATATATAAAGTAATCCTTTGTAAAGGACATTAACCAAATCCATGCAGACGTGTTTACCTAATCCAGTCTCTTTCGTGCTGGAGTGTATGATATATATGACTTATGTGAGCAGTGCTGTGGATGAGCACACTGGTGGGGTAAACGGTGTAAAGTGTGTCACTGTTCTAAAGATCCCTGCTTCAGTCGGCACAAAGCTGGCCGTTTTGGGAGAGCCAAAGTGCTGCGTAGTGAATCAAATTCTGCTCAGCAGGAAGAATACTGTCATAATATGAGTATTGCTTTAAGATGTCACAAACGGTCAACTATATCTTCTGAGAAGCTGAAAAGAAGGAATATTGAGTCTGGCACAGTCGAGATGAGCATCCTCGCTCGTGCATCCAAGTCCTCTCCATCTTCATGAATAAATTATACATAATCTGAGTGAGAAACCTTCCGCACCATGCGTCATCCTTAAGTCTTCTTGTTACCAGCTGCACTGTGCTGAAATGCCTTCAGGAGGCAGGGAAATAAAGAGGCCTGAAGAGAGGCAGAAGTGGGAAACTAGGTCGAGAGACCTAAAAATGTTTCCTTCATTGCTGAGTCCCATCCACCTCATAGGAATATGTTTACACTGCGTTTGTTTGTACAGGATGTTTGATGTTGGAGGCCAGCGGTCAGAAAGGAAGAAGTGGATCCACTGCTTTGAGGGAGTCACAGCCATCATCTTCTGTGTAGCCATGAGTGCTTATGATCTGGTCCTAGCTGAGGATGAAGAGATGGTGAGTAAACACTTAGAAAACCGTTGCTGAACTTCACATTGGAGTCCAGTCCCAAGAAAATGAAAAGAACTGGAAGGAGGGCCGAGGTTTCAGTGAACTCATTTCCTTTGTGTGTTCTCGTAGTGTTCTCTAATAATCTCTTTATCTCCGCATTTGTGCCCGGCCCACCCAGAACCGGATGCATGAAAGCATGAAGCTCTTTGACTCAATCTGCAACAACAAGTGGTTCACAGAGACGTCCATCATCCTGTTCCTCAACAAGAAGGACCTGTTTCAGGAGAAGATTGCTCACAGCCCTTTGACCATCTGCTTCCCTGAGTACACTGGTATGTATGACTGCCTCAGTACAAACACAATCATAAACACATTTATCATTGTGTTTATTCTTTATAGCAAGCCCAGTGATAACTTTGCAACTGTGTAGAATGATAAACACGAAAAACTTGTTTTGAGACTTTGCCAACCCGTATTTTTCATGAAATCATGAAACAAAATCTAGCCCCAGTTTGTATTTCTTGTGCATTATCAGTCCATTCATGTGTCAGAAATGAGCAACTTTTTAGAAAACAAAATCTGAAGGTGTTTTTACAACACTTTCCCAAAATCTTCTTTAAATCTTCTGGGTGCAAATTATACTCCCCTCCTCCCCACTTGCTTTCCACTAAGCCAGAAATGAGCGTACTGTTTTGGCACAAGAAAGGCGCCCCCATTTTTAATGAAAATATGAAATTTAAAAGATTCACATCGGTACAGTGTAAGCAAATGCACTCCATGTGTCCTTCCTGCTGTGTGCTCTAATCAGGAAAATCCTTCACCTGAGAACTCTTTAGAAGCAGGCAGTAAACTCTCGTCTGCTACATGTGAGAAAGGAAAAGTGCAAACAACATTCCTCGGGGTCCTTAAGTAAAACGGGGGTTTCTTTGACTTAAATGTAACAGACTGCCCATGCATAAAGGTGCAAGTTGCAACTACGTGCACAACTACAATGCAGGATAAGGAAATAATAATACTTGATTTGTAGGAATTGCTGGAAAAGAGTCGATTTGGATGAGTGCCAAGTGAAACTGTCTCTGCCTATCAGCAAAAAGATTTGACTTCTTTTCCACACTGATTAAGCTCTCCTGAAACTTTTCTCAGGCCCCAACACGTACGAGGAGGCCCAGACTTACATCCAGACCAAATTTGAGGATCTGAACAAGAAGAAGGACACCAAGGAAATCTACACCCACTTCACCTGCGCCACTGACACCAAGAACGTGCAGTTTGTGTTTGATGCCGTCACCGATGTCATCATCAAGAACAACCTGAAGGACTGTGGCCTTTTCTGAAAATCAGTCTGAGAGTCGAGGTGAGTCAAAAGAAGAAAGGACTTGAAGTCACTAAGAGCCATGTGGATTCATAAACCAAAGTGACTGAGATATTTTTGTTTGTTTTCTGTGTTTCTGTTAGGATTACTTGAACCGCTCTGACCATAGCGATGGGGGATTATACACGGATCATGAATGACTGCACTGGCCAACCACGATTTATGCTTTGATCTGCTTTTTAAAAAGACACCTAAGAGACTGAAAACCCGACGAGCCTTGCAGATTTTCAACAATTGCTGATCCAGTTGCTCGTGTTATTAACTCTTTTGGCTATGACCACAAAAATCAACATCTATTTTATTTTTTTTCTTTATTTTCAATTGCTAAAGGAGGGGAAGTGTTTTCTTTTGCATATATATATATATATATATATATATATATGCATTCATTTTACTTTTAGAAATTCCAATGTGCAAATTATTAACCTTTTAATCACATGATGCTTATTTTTTAAGAGCTGAAGCACAGGCATGGACATAAAATATGATTCATAAAAAAGTGCTTTTGTTATAATGTTTACATCAGTTCATCATTCATAGCAAAAAGTATATATTCTGCATGACTCAACTTGGCAAATATTAGCTCTGTAATCCACACAAAGTATGTAACATTCCAACAAAAACAAAAAAAAATAGGAAAAAAAATTAAAAAGCTAAAAAAGAAAAAATGGCTTCACCTGCTGGGGGGGAAATTGTGGCTCAATTCTAAACAATATTTAAAGTATATGTGTACCTAACATTCTTTCACTTTTATAGTATCATTTCCATGTCTGTTGCAGTATATTTGTGCCTTGACTTCTGTTTACAACCATTTCTTAGAAATGCTTTCAGAACTGTTTGACCTACTGTGCTCTGCTGCCTAGAATCTCTGAGTAGTATTGTGATTGTTAATGAGAGACAAAAATCTAATTCCGTAAAGAGGTTAGTGTTTTTGGTAAATAATAAAATGCTTTAAAAATTCCTTTATGATTTAATTTAAATAAAAGTAGACATCACCAGACTCGGTATATTGGGGTTTCCTGTCTGTTGTGTTACATTAATATTGCTGCCAGTTCATGTTTCAGGTGATAACTGAATAAAATGTTCACTGAGAGCTTTGATACTATATTTTTTTGTAAATTTGTACAGATGATTCAAACAAAGGGTTGATGGTTTTACACCAGTAAAATAACCGAAGGGTTGTTTTTAATATCATGGCTAAGCAGGTTTTGATTAGATGGTTTCAGCCACGGAGGAAGAACTAAACTCCAGTAATACATATCTTTGTGTTCATCAATGTCAATTGGACACAGTAAAAGCAAAGAATGCTCCTGGCCTTAAATTCTCCACAGATGACTGACTTTAGCATTAGAGCAGCTGATCAAAAGCTGGCAAATGTAGTGAACTGTAACACAGCTACAGTACTGTGCAAAAGTCTTGAATCACCCCCCTTTGTTTTGCTTCCAAGGTGGCTGACTTGTAATATTTTTTTAGGTGCGCTTGATTAAATAGTTCTCCGGGCTTTGGGGCTTTCTGGAGGTCTTTCAAAGTTTTCATTTGCACATTTGGCTGTTTTTTGTTTTTTGTTTTTCATTCCAGTCTTTGTCACTGACTAATTTTCAGAGGATTTTTTTTTAACACCGACCAATGAATTATTCAAGCAGTAAATTCTTCAAGGTATCAACCAGTGTTGTGTCTACACAGCCAGTGGTGTTGGGGATCTTGTCAAAATTGTGACGCAATTATGAACAGAGGAAAATGCCATCGGATTTTAACCCACTGTGCAATATCATCTGGAAAGTGTCGTACTGGGATTGGCTTCTTTTTTCAGCATGACAGTGATCCCACATCTGGTAAAAGATTACCTGGTTAGAAAATGTGTAACTATTGGTTATGGATTGGCCTCCTCAGAGCCCAGACCTCAATTACTCTGAACCAGTGTGTGCTCGTCTTGACAAAGAACAGAACAAAAGCAGCCAACATCTAAAAAATAGCTTTGAATGTCCTTCAAGTAGCCTGCATATGTTTCCTGAAGACTACTTACAGAAATTGCAAGAAAGCTTGACTAAGAGAGCTCAGGCTGTGTTGAAAAATAAACCAAAGAATGATTTTTAAGCTTGTTGGAAGATGAACTGATGTACTGTATTTATAGGTTTCTAATCACAAAAATCGCTGCACCCATTTCCCAAACAAAATACAAAGAAACGAGGGGTTACAGTACTTTTGCACAGTAATGTGTACAACAGTCAGTGTTGGTAAACATGCATCTTTTTGGCATAAGCTACTCCTTATTTTAGACCAAAAAAGACTAAAGGAGTGCTGCATTAGCCCTTTAAAACCTGAACCATGAAATAAGTGCCAGAAAGCCAGGAGTTTATGGAACAGTCTGACAAATTTGTTTAAAAAATTAATTACATTTTTATTGCCATGAGTTTTCATTTTTATCATATTTGCTACATCTGCCTTTATAAAAAAAAAAAAAAAAAAGCTGAAAAATTTATTGTTCTATTAATTTAGATTTTTCAGGGGGAAAAATCTCGCTGATGTCGTAGAAGTCTCAAAAACAAAAATCTGCGTGTCTCATATAAAACACTAGGCGTTCACGGGTTAAACACAAGTGTTAAAAAGTGTTTTGCTTGTGCTTGATGTTTCTTTTCATTTACAGGAGGAAGACTTCTTAATTTGAAAGTAAGAGACCTGCTATATACAGCTTTTTATTGCTTCAATAATGTCTTCTGTTTGATGCGAGAGGCATGCACGAATTTTAAAAACACTGAGACTGCCATCTGGTGGACACATGCATATAGAGATAATAGCTGATCAACAAATATTTACAGACTATTCAACTTTCTTGGTCAGTCTCAAACAAAACTATCACCACCAAAAGCATTTAACACTGGCAGGAAACAGAAAACGTCTCGTTGCAGCTGTTCTTGCTATATAGCATATATAGTACATTTCGATTGTAGCTTCTACAGGGGAAACTATAGAAGCAGATGAGACTGTTTTGGAGAAAAGGTTTACATTGTACTTTGCAGGTCTAGAGAAATATGTTGCGTCTTAAAAACCACACAGTCAGATGCATCTGCTATTTATTGAAAACTGACTGCATAAACACTTCACCACTCAGATTTTTTGATTAGCAAATGGCAGCGGCAACGTTCAGTTTACCTGGACATGAAAATGCCTGGGATATTGTTATTGTTATTGATGAGCGTGATAAGGTGGGAATAGAAAACAGCAAAAAGTTCACATTAGCTTGTGGCATACTAATAACAGAGTCTTACCAAAGCTGTGACTTCCTCCTGAAATGATCCTTCAGGAGGAAGTTGTGACAAAGCTTATTAGACTTTTTATGGCCTATAAAGCACATATATAATAATACTGACATTCATAATGCTATATTGCATATTTGCATTGCTGTAGGTTTAGTAAAGGAATCTATCATTGACAGGGGTGGTAATGTAAAAATGCTTGTTAGCTGCATGCAGAAAAATCAGCATGACCCTTTGGTACTCTTCAAGCCAGTTCCCCTTGCAAAGTATTTTCTCCAGAGGGCGCTCCGGTTCTGTTAATTGAAGACAGGGTGAAGTCTCAGGCACACAGTAGGTCCTTTAATCATCAGGTATGATGTCAAAGTCTCTGTGCAGTCACCAGTTATTTCAGTTTTATTTTAAGTGCTCATCTGTTGCAAATGCTCATATGCTACTTAATGTTGGATTGCTCCCCAACTGTCTGGATGAATCCGTCATTCAGATTTGCATAGACATCTATTCACGAAATGTAAACGGCAGGTGAGGTGTTAAATGACTGATCGTTGCATTTACATTTTGAATCTTTTGTTGTCACTCTGATCCAATGATTTACAACCAGCCAGCAGCAGGAAGAGAGCTTTCCTTTCTCTTCGGGAATTATAAAGAACCACAAAATAACTGTGAACTTGTGGGCTGAACATTTATGATGGAAACAATGGCTGGGAAATTATTTGAACACGCACACACACACGCACATCACCAAAGATCAACATCTGGTTAAATTAAGTGTCCCCCTGATCTTTGAACAACAACTTTAAGCACTTGCATGTAGCTCAGGTTTAAAATAAAAGAATTTGGAAAGCCTCCAGCAGGACCTAAAAGTGAATTAAAAGTTTATCTTGTGTGCCCTGACTCAGTTACTCAAGCAGCTTCCATAATGAACATAAATCCTAAAACATTTGAGATTTGAAATGACAGGAGAAAACTGAGCATAGGCAATGGGATGACTATAATGAAGATAATAAGCAGTTCATCTCTGGTCTGATTGGGGATAGTCAGATTTGCTTAAGTATCAGCTTGTACAATAAGTCAGTCCATTAGGTATTTAGGAGAGCAACATTGCTCTGCCTGTGCAGAAAAATAATCACAGTTCCATTTAAAGCACAGTGCAGTTAATTACTTAATTCATCCTGTAAAGTGTATGGGATGTGTGGTGGACACACAAGGACTCTTAAGGGGAACCACTGATGATGGGAGTCTTTTGAAGTCACTAATTTTGGGGGGAAACAAATAATTCCCATTGCTAAAAGCCTGGCGTTCTTTAAAACCTACAGGTTGCACTCAGATAGTAGCCTATAAAATGAACCATTTACAGTCTTGTGAGGATTAGATTGTCAGGACAATTCACTTTTTTCTGGATGGCAAATTCAGAGCCACACACGCACACAAACACAGGTAGATAGATTCATGCACAAAGCCAAGTTTTCGTAGAAATCTAACTCTGGAACAGGTCAACTGGCTCCGTTATTCTGTGGCTTGCTGTGAGCACTAATCTGCACATGAACAGTGGGCCATCAGGATCATTCCCCAAAGACCAACAACTTAATGCATGCCTTAGCCCATTGGATTTGCATGCGCATTATTTTGAATGGAAGGTGGGGTGCCAAATGACTGTTGTGGTGGTGGCATGCAGTTACATTTACACTCGGGCACTTACTTTGCTTCTGAATAAATGGATGAGAGTGCAATGAGCCACCAATTGAACAAGCACCACAAAAATTAGAAGTAATCTGAAAAAGAGCGCTAAGGTTTGGATTAAAACACTCATGTGGGAAAGAAAAAGGGGCTAGGAAAGGAAACACAATGAAAAGTGTTTGATTACGTATAAATGCATCACGGGATATGAAGCAGTCAGTCAGTCGCAGTCAAAAAGAAAGAATTTTTTTTTTTTTTACCATCTGATAAGTTAGGGGTTTGCTCTGACCAAAAAAAAAAACAGAAGCTTCTTAAAACTTCTACTATTTGCAGTTTTGTTTAGTTTGTTTTTCTGAAACCAGAAAGCGATTTTATGATCGCATTTTCAACAAAATAAGTGAATTAAAATGAAGTAAAAGCTGAATTATTGTTATTATTTCTGGGAGCGATAGAAAGAAAGACTTTTCATATCTCTCATAATCTCATAACATCATTTATAAATGCTACAGGCCCACTAAAGTAATCTCTAGGTCTGGGTTAAATCTTCCCAGGTCTTTGCGTTCAAACATTACACGACAACGGTGTTTTATGATGAAGGGTATGTTTAAAAAAATCTGAATTGAGTTGTGGGGGTGCTATTCTACAGAAGTATCTTTTTTTCTCTCCTGCTGTTTTGCAAATGAGCTCTGCGGGCATCCTGCACCCTGATTGGCTCATTCAGACACGAGTGGTTGTAACTGGCTGCAGAGCGCGGAGCTGTAAAAGGAGGCCAAGGGGGCTGAAATTTTCACTCAGCATATCAAGCGACTGGAGCCGAAAGGGCTGACTCCTTACTGGGGACACTAAATCCCGCGACTGCTTTGATCGAATCGGGACAATTTTCTCTTAATGGGACGAAGCTGTCACGTTCAAGGTAAGCGCTGTGTAGCCTAAACTCTTGTTATTATATACTTTAATGAAGAGTTATTTATTAGTTATGAGGGGTTTCATGTCTGTGGGGCGCTGCATTAAATCCACTCCATCATTTTCTTTCTTGCAGATATAAAGTTTTACAGATGAAAGGAAAAGAGATGGTAAGTTTGCTTTATATTAATTTTATTATAAAAGTGTAAACCCCGAAACCATTCTAGTATATTCTGAATAGACTAGTAGAGTCAGTCTTTCCACGCGTG